GTTGAGTTTATTAAAATCACATTTACGAAAGCATCTACTTTTAGTTGGAGAAAGTAAAGGAGAGTGGGTATCAACGCAAGGAAGACAAGTCGTATGTTCCTATGTGGGAGGATACCGGTCTTATGGCACAACTAGTGGGTCAATTGTAGATACCATGACTTCAGACGGATCAAAAACAAATACAAGATCTAATTGTCTGTTTAGTGAATTACGTATAAAGCTAACTTGCTGTAATGATAATTCTAACAGACCGTCAACGAAGTCATAGACAGATAAAGGGGTAGAGACAAAACAAAAACAATCAAAAGAACCCTATCGGAAAGATGAGATAAAACAATTTGTATTGCAGCCAAATGTTGCTCATAAATTGTTAAGCCGGATCCAGGTGGAATATAAGAACAAGTTACATAAATCTAAAAAGATTTCAAAGAAACCTTAACACCAACGAATTTTATGTCATTGGGATAAAGTAGAGGTAACGGCAATCAGCACCATAAACTCCTCCACTGTGGTGCTTTAAGACGGGAATTCCTGGTGTATAAATTCCAAAACATCTGCCGAATTGGTTTCAGGTGTTAAACGAGACACAAATATGTTCTTCCTATATGGAACAACCGAGAGGCTCTTTCTTCCGCCACCATACTATCGATACTATGGACTCCTATAGAGCTAACTTCACCTGTAGGCACAGAAAGCTGCGTAGTGTTTGACCCCTTAGGCTGACTAACAGAAACAGGGACTCCTCCAGAGCTTTTGGTACATATGGGTACTGCTGGCAGTGAAAAAATACGCAGATTAATATAGTCTTTTACTCTGCCAACAAGTCTAGCACATTTCGGATGTAAGACTATGTTGCAGAGACGACAGTAAATAAAAACGTCATTAGGTGCCGATCCAAACTGACAGCCTTTTCCGGAGCAAAAAAAAAGCATTTTTTTAAGTATTTTAATTTAAGAGAAAAAAAAGTTATTTATAAATTTGTAAAACAAAATATACACGACAACAGTTTAGACGACAAGAAACGGCAGAGAGATTACAAGAAAGTTATGGGAAACAACAACAAAAGCTATTGAAGCACAGAAGTTACAATTACAAAGTGCACAGGCTAAAAGCAGAGTAAGGTTTTGTTAAAATTGCTACAATAAAATGGACAATTAAACATAAACAGACGATTTAAAACACAAGCTGGTTATGTTGAACTAAGTCACAAAGCAAGGCACCAGTATCACAGATATTAATGACAAATTGACAAAAATCACAGAGCACAAGATAAACACACCGGTCACAAGCGATGCTAAATCGAAGAATGTATACATATATATATACTCTTAAAACAGTTAAAAAACAAGGAAGAACGCAATAGTCGAGTACCTCGACTATCAGATACCCGTTATTCAGCTAAAGGGACCAAAGGGAAATAGAGATATGCAAGCAGCAAAGCGAGATTAAAATGCGCCACCTACCGGCGGTAGACAGATTTAAGCGTTATGGGCGTTAGAGTGGGCGTGGCAAATTTTTTTTTGGATCAATCGATAGGTATTGACGAGACCAATACATTTCCGTTAAAATTTTTTATCTAGCTTGAAAACTGTGGGCGTCAGAGGTTTGGGCGGCTTGTGGGCGTTAGAGTGGGCGTGGAAAACTTTTTTTTGGGTCAATCGATTGGTATTGATGAGAACAATACATTTCAGTTAAAATTTTTATTCTAGCATCAAAACTGTAGGAAGAGTGGGCGTGGCACATTGCACAAACTTGCGCTGCGTAAGAAGCCCAGGAATCTGCACGCCAAATCTCAATAGCCTAGCTCTTATAGTTTCCGAGATTTCAGCGTTCATCCGGACAGACGGACATGGCTAGATCGACTCGGCTAGTGATCCTGATCAAGAATATATATACTTTATGGGGTCGGAAACGCTTTCTTCTGCCTGTTACATACCTTCCGACGAATCTAGTATACCCTTTTATTCTACGAGTAACGGGTATAATTACTTTTGCTGAAGTATAAGTTTCTAATAAAATGCTGACATGAGATAGCAGTGACAATTCAGCTTCACTCAAGAAACTCTCAGGTAAGATCAAGTCCGTTCCAACATGTAATGCAGTATTCTTCCCTTGAATCCCTCAGAAATTTTTTCGAATTTGAATTGCATTTCGCTTATGCAGCTCCGAACGGACATGGATTGCCCACTTATTCTTTTGAAAGAAACACTTGCAGGATTGACAAAACTGATTTTGGTTATTCATTTTATTTTATTCTGTTTGTTTAAATTTTCACTGTTACTTAAGTTGAGTTTGACGTAGCATTGTATCCCACTTCAAGACTATTTTTGGTAGACTAACTATTGCCCTCGATCATTTATAGTGTTTGAAGTGGGCTACTCAGGTAGGAAAAGATCATTTCGACTTTGGGAAAAATCAAATATATTCATTTGTTGAATTTCGAGAATGGACATCTTGGGGTAAATGAAGAAGATGAAAACCTTTATCAAATGTCTTTATCAATTGTGTAAGCATATTCAAAAGTGTAAAAGTGTCATGCATTCGGATAAAATAAATAATTTTCCAGTTCATACAATCAAAACTCTTTGAATATAATGGAGATAATATGAAAACATCTATTCATGGAATCATATAGACACCTGCGTGTGGAGCAATGATGCAGCATTCTTGTGTATGCCATCGAATTTCGGATTTCAAAAAGGAAGCACTCAATATTATGAATACATATTATAATCAAGAAAAAAGAATAAAAAAGATTAAGTAATATAATACAAATGTTTGCAATACCAAAATAAATGAATAAATGTATTATTATGCTAAAAATAAACTTCTGACTTTTTATTTTGAGTTTAAATTACAGGTACGGAGAATGTAAAATATTTCCTAGATTGAGATAGGTCGGCTACTTGCTAGTTTTCACGCTGTCGTGATTTCAATTCTATTGTCGTTGGCGTGAGACCCATGATCTTGTCAATGAGCGTGCGCCTTCTGGCTTGTGCATGAGTCCCTTTTATTGCGGTCAGGCCAACGTTGCTAGGGCATGCGCAGCTGGAAACTTCGATAATCCCCCCTCGATGCCTTGTAAAGGAAAGGATCATGCGTCAAATGGAGTCCATGATGGTCACCATGTTCAACCAATTCCAGACTTTAATGATGTCAATGCTCTCCAACCGGATTAATAGCCAAAATCCATAAACACCGAGCTTGCCTAGAAGCAAGCCTAACCACACCCCCATCCACCTATTTGTACACCCCAAGAAAACCTCATCACAAAAACTTTGTGATTTTGTTAACTCACATTCAACGTTATCAAAACATTTAATTTATTGCCCACTGGGCAGATGTAAATAAAAACCGTACCAAATCAAAAAAAAAAGGTAATGGACAGATGCGCATGTTCGGGTAGCTCTTGCTTAAATCCCTTTTATGACATTAATATGGAAATTGTCTAAGAATCCGCGTTTCCATCCACCATCTACCATCCGACAACAGCTGTCAGATCAGCTGTGGCTAATAAAAACACAATCAAAAATTGTTAAAGTTGATTTGCCAGACCAAAATGAAAAATTTACCAACTATTTTGGCTGCAGCAAAATGTGAAGTTCAATCAGCTTTTATTGGCAGCCAATTAAGAGGAGTGGAATGACGACGAATTGGATCTGTACGAAAGCATTTTTTCTGCAAAAGAGCAAATGCCACGAAGTGTGTGGATGCTGGTACGTGCTCTTAAATTCTATTAAAAATACTATTAAAGAATGCGATTTATATTGAACAGAAGCGATACGGGACACTTTGGGAGAATGATATACCGGAAAACAACGACGAGTTCTTCAAAGAGTGCTTTCGTATGGAGAAGAGTACCTTTTTGTTTTTGGTGGACCGACTTGGTGTTTTGCGGAAGAAGGACACCAACTGGCGAAATGCCATTCCTCTTGAAAAGCGGATCGCTATAGCCTTGTACATCTTGGGATCATCAGCAGAATATCGTTCTATCGAAAGACTTTTTGGAGTTGCACAGAACACTGTGTGCAAAATTCTCCACGAATTTTGCCGGGCACTCATTTTTGAGTTTGCCAGCGAGTTCATGTCACCGGACTATCTTACTCCAGAAAAAGTGGACGAGTGTATCAAAGGATTCGAAGCAATCGGATTTCCCAAGTGTCTAGGTGCAATTGGTAAGACATAAATTCATTAAATCAGTTCATGGTCTTAGCAATGTATAATGTGCAGATGGTTGTCACATCGAAATAAAACCGTCAGCAGCAGAAGCAGTCGATCACCACAACTACAAAGGCTGGTACTTAATAGTACTATTCGCTCTCGTAGATAACAGGTAAACTGCCTTCTTCTTAGAGCTCAACAATGTTCTAAACGCATTGTATTTTAAATTTACTACAGATACAGATTTACCTATGTAAACATCGGCTCTGCTGGGCGCTGCAACGACTCCACTATATTTCAAAAGTCGAGCCTGGCAAGGAAAATGGTGTCTTCTCCGTTTCTTCACGAAAAAACATAGAAAATTTGTGGCGTTGAAGTTCCGGTGCTGCTTATTGGGGACTCTGCCTTTAGATTTTCCCAAACGCTGATGAAGCCGTACCCATTTTCCACAAATGCATCCGAAGAACAGCAAAATTTTAACTACAATCGGTCTAAAGCTAGGCTAGTGGTAGAAAATGCATTTGGCCATTTAAAGACAAGATTTCAGTTTATTGGGAAAGGTCTGAACAGCCACTACAAGAATAATAATGAAGTCATTCAAGCTTGCTGCATTTTGCACAACATTTTAAATGAGCACAGCAGCGCTATAAATGAAACTTGGCAACGGGCTGCAAATGACCTACGCGAACAACCAATTCGGACTAATATGTCTGCAGATTTTAGCCAACCTGCAGAAAAAATAAGAGCAGCTATTTCCCAATATTGGCTAAATGGTAACAAATAAAGTTCATAAAATATAAATCTGTTTGTTTTTTATTTAAATAAAATATCACATTTCATTTGGTCTATTTATTATAAATTATAAATTTATTAGGAATTCGTTGATTTTCTTAAAAGCTCTAACAAATCCGATTGGAATTTTACTTGGCTGTCTGCCATTCTCGACAATATTTCTGTCTGCGCTCTCTGCTCCTCCAGTCTTTCTCGATCTATCTCCACAAGCTCCGACTTGTGGTCCACCTTTGCCGCCTGAGCGTTGACTGCCGCTGCAGGTAGAGGCTTCCCTGTCATCTGGGTCTGCATCCAAGAGCTCCACAAACTATTCCCTAGTATCTGCAATAAATACATTTTTTAGATCATTTTAATTTAAAAATATAAGTGTGGGGACATACTCTCGTTCTCCAAGGGGTTCTGCTCCATGTTGTGGATGCGGTATGCGCCTAGAAACGAGTGGACCAACTAATAATACTGCCACGCGGAAGGAGCGCCACCGCTTGGCCCCACTTTATTTTTTTCCTGCCTGCAAGGAATAAAATCGTTGAGTGGATTTCCATTATGTTGTTGCGCGCATATAAGTTACCTGTCTTGGTCTTTCGGGCTCCCCGCAACTCCTCGATGCTCTCCTGCCAAATATCGATGAGCAGGACCTCCATCTGCTTAGTCCACCTCAGTTTGCCACCGGCAGTTCGCGTATTATTGACTGTAAAATTAAAAGCAATGAATTATTACAAATATAAAGAGCATTTATGTTCATACCTATTGCTTTGTCGCCTTCCTTTTTCAAAAGTTTCCCGTCATTATTGTTTACGTTTTCGTAGTGAATGTTCCACTTTCCACTTTCAAGAAGAAGAGTTTAGGGTTTTCACCTAAAATTATCGCCTAACTATCGCATAAAATAGTCCGTCAAATCTGGATGGGGACCATCCGTTCAACGGATGGTAGATGGTGGATGGATCTCTGTGGGAAGACCCTATTAGCGTAATATGTTTCGCATCTGTTTATTATAATTTGGTACATTATATAAATTATTAATAATTCTTTATGCAGGTCGATTTTGAATACAGAGATATCCCTTAATTCAGCGAAAATTACAGGCTTTTTTCGTGTTTTAGTATTTCTTTGATGTCTACATTGCTTACAATTTTAGTATTAAAAACATCATTTTCGTCAGTGTGATAGTATCAATTAAATTTTGTAGGTCAAATGTGAAAAGTCGTATGTGATGTTTTCTTAATGGTAAGTCTTGATGAATAAAATCTTTTTTTAAATCTTCAGAAAGATATTCTACTTCTTTGAACAATTTGGAATTGATAAGAAATTGTTTATTAGAATTTTCAATTAAGACATTGATTTTATTTTGAACTTTAAAAAAATCATCATGATCCGCAGTTTCAGCCAACCATTACCACCTCTTTTTGATTTTGTAGATATTAACTCTGGCAAAATCAATTGGTATTTAATTTCCCATTGTGACCTCCTTATAGAATCTTATTTATATTATTTGATTCTATATTTATTATTTCTTTACGTGGAACAGTAAGAACATCCTTGTTGTCCTTAAACAGAACTATCAATCAACTATTTCTGAACTGGCTAATATTATGATTGACAAAAGAGGTATAAGGGAATGCATTTTCTGTAAGTTAACAAAAATAATTTGTTTATCCTTCATATTATCTTTGCGTATAATTCTGTTTCTACTATTAATTATTATTTCATTGGGCATAACTTCATTAACTACATGTTTTTAATACCTTGGTTTAAGTTTATTCCTTTTTCCGTATTTCTTGTCCTACATGATATTCTTTTTCTTTTCTTTTTTCATTATGTGTTTGTAACATTTTGTCTTGAGTTTTATTTCAGTATTTGGGGAATATAATCGTGCTCGATTTTCTTACAAGGAATGTCAAGACGTTTTTGGTTCGTTGTGGAATGAATACTCTGCTTATATACCAGAGCAGCTCTTATAACAATTTCAGAATAATCGGTTAGATTAAATTCTTCTTTTAAGCAACGAGCCTATGCTGTTAGTGTCTAATGTGCCCTTTTAACTTCTTTGTTTGAGGTACTTTTCCTCGGGTCTGCGTAGTGTTAATTTAATCCGCACCTTTGTGCAAAAGATTTAAATTGTGCCGACGTAAAGCTGATTTCATTATCGGTCATAAGTAATTTGGCTTGGAGAAATTATTGAAGGAATTCCATTACCTTATTTTCGATGTGTTATTTATTTTGAATTTCTTTAACTACTAGGAATTTCGAGAACGCGTCAATACAAGTTATAAAAGTTTGACTTTGCGCATAGAATATATTAAACATCTGCATGGCATTACTCATAAGATACCTTAAACAGAAGGCATTCGAATTGAGCTGAGTTAAGTAACTTCTGATCGCACAATGAAACAAAGTTTTATTTATATGAGTACGTGTTGAATCTCGCAGAATAAGACATTGAGTGGAATGAATGACAATGAATGAAGCGTGAAACGGAATGGAGACTTTAGCACAGCTAAAAACATTCGAGTTGTCCGAGTATTTGTTTAAAGCGAATGGACGAATATGAACGGGATAGAAGCGAAGGATTTTGTATGTTTTTTTTTTTAGATTTTGTTGTTTTGTTCTGTTTTAGAAATTTAATATCAGATAAACGTTGCCGGACTGCCACTTACCCTGACAAAATCAATCAAATGTTTCTACATTCTAATATGTTAGAAATTAATGAAATTAAAATGAAGTTTATAAATAAACACATCTATATATATAATTAATTTCATTGACTTCTGTTTTGCTTTCTTTTTTTTCTGGCCAGCCTTCAAATGCATTCGAATTACGTCGTATTATTTCGTCGCGCTCTTACTCACTCATTTCCTATTATGTCGTGTTTCGTCGTGTCTGTCACTCGTACCCGCGGGGTTTTGCCATTCATGCAGATGTCTTGTATGTATTAATATGTAAGTTTTCTCCTTTAGTTGGTTTGGGGCTTTTCCAATTGAAATTTTGATTGCGTAGGAAAATATTATGAAACAAAATATAGCTTCGGTGTTTTTTGACATATTATCTTATACTATTGGGAATATAATTTTTGTTCTTTATGAATTTAGAATTAAATTAAATAATTATAACTGCAAGGGTATACAAACTCCGGCTTGCCGAAGCTAACTTTATTGTTCTTATTAGATTAAAGCCAATCCGTAGGTCAAATTCCAATCCTTCGATTTCATAAAAAAAATTCTTGTTTCAAATATATTTATATTGTGGTTATGTTTAATAATGGAGTACCCATGAACTGTAGATACTTTTTATATATTGATAATTCATATTTCTTTTTGAAAATTCCCTTTTTATTATAAGAATCAGTGGCTAGTTTTTCTGTCAACTCTTCTTAAATAAGGCACTCCCCTGTATGGTTCTAATGCAAAAAATTATCTTCATTGTTAATATTTTATCTTGTTACCTTATTAGCAGGCTGATTAACTGTTCCTTCCCTTTCTTGAGCTTAAGTTGGCTTCCTGGGTTTGTATGTACGATAATAGTTTGAACAATTATTGTTCTGATAATAATTAATTTGATATCTGTCTCGATTATTTATTGCCTGAAAAACATTACTACGTTTATTTTGAATTCGGAGGGATGGATCAGCGTCCATTGGCTCGATAGGTTGTTGTTTTTGATTGTTATTGTGCTGATTGTTTTGACAAAAATCAGATGTTGTGGCCAATTATTATTTTGATTATAATTGCAATTATTTCCCATTCCCTTAGTTTTTTTTTTTGTTTGGAACTTGCTGGGTTAAATTTGAAGTTATTTCACCGATTTTTATTTACATTTTCAATACCTCTTTGCAAATTGAGTACGTAAATTGTTTGATTTTATGAGAAAAGGGTTTCTGAGATTGAACCGTTTTATCCAGAGATACAAATTCGAAAAGCATTGTTTCTTTTTTTTTTGTTTGTTTTCCCTTTAAGAACGTTGCCCTTATCCGTATGTCATTTAGGTTTTGTTTATTAGTAAAGTCGTTTTTATATTGACTTCACTATAGTATTCAGTAGCTGTTATCCGACACAGCCTAAGAATCCTTAATTTTGACTCAAGAATATGAATGGTTCGTTTGTTGTTATATATAAAATTCAATCTAGACAATATTTCTGGATAATTTAAAACGGTACCATGATTGTCCAGAGCGTCGTGTACAGCTCCCATGATTTTATTTTTTTAAATTGTTAGAGCGATAAAATATTACTGACTCTGAATTTTATAAAGACACAGTTCAGTTTCTGCAGCTTCCCTCCAACCTACGTATTGTGTTGGTTCCCCGGTGAATGACCTTATCACTAAAAAGTTATAGTTCGGTCGATTTCTTGAATTTTATAGTCTTCCACTGCGCTTGCATCAGTAGCTAACATTTCTTCTAAGCCATCTATTTTCTGGCTCACTTGGCTTAATTGAACATTCACTATTTTTTTAATTATTTCCACTGTTAAGTTTTTGGCTGTAGCTTAGCTTCCTGTAGAAAAATTTGCTGAACGTCCGGTTGCCATTGTTAGTTTTAATTCACCAAAACTATTTATTACATTTTTCAGATCGATTCCTTTAATTCATTTGATTATTATTATTACTGATTTTATCAATTTTTGATCTTAAATTTATAAGTGTGAAGATCCTCATTTTATTTTTAATAAAATTATACATATTTTCACGGTACTGTCCGCTGGGGCCTTCCTTTTGATTGTGTGTTGTTCTTCTTTTGATGACTTGGCCCCACGTTTGTCGGCAATTAATTTTGTGATTGATCGTTGACTTAAACAATTATTTTTTATATTTTTTTTATTTTATTGTAGTTAAACCTTAATTCACTTAACTCACTATTGCATCAAGACACTTGTTTTGAGGGGGCATGAATTTATGCCACCTTTTTAAGCGAGCTTTTAACAAAACGTATGCGAGGCCGAAATGGTTATAAATGTATAGCCGAGAGAGATTGATTTTATGCAAGTGTTTATTTCTGCAGCGATGCGACTGCATTGCGAAAACCTTAACGAGCGAATGCCGGATGAGCCGTTTGATGATCAACGATTCCATGCGCTTATGTCAGCAAGCTTCAGCAAGCTTTAGTTTACATTATTTTTTGTCAGTAATGCTGACCAATTAAAAGACAATTAGTGATTTAACTTGAATTAAGTGACTGCTCCCGACACTCTCCTTTTGTTGGAAGAGCCATACTTTCAAGTGAAGTGGTATCAAGGGGCAGGACAGCTAACTTCCTCGTTGCCCGCTGGCATAGCCCAGAGTCAGTTTGGATCTGGCATAGCCCAGAGTCAGTTTGGATCTCGGTCTACGGCGTTATCTCCGGAGACGGTGCTCTCCACCACTAGGGGGTAGGCTGTCCTTATTGATGAGGACTAAATTGCCTGGATTAAGTTCCGCTCGGGAGAGCGCCATTTGCTCCGCTCCTGAAGCAACGAGAGGTAGTGGTGCTCCATTGGCGCCAGAACATTTTCTGCATTTGGCACACACGCTGCCACCGGCTCAGACGATCGAGGTTCAGATGGGTGATGTCAAGATCGTCCATTGAGGTAAATGTAGACCAAATGAAAAAGTGGGCAGTGAGCAAGTCAGTGCATCGATCTCAAGTGGGTTTCCTGAAATGGGGCAGAGTTAAACATTGCGAAAATTTCACAGGGTAAAGTGCGCAGCTCATGAGATGTGGGAATCGACTTTCCAACAACGCGGTCAAGCCTCCAAACTGTGGGGAACGAGGTGGGATGAAATTCTCCTTGGTTTCCATCGTAGTATGAAAAATCTACAGCTCGCTGCTTTGAGGATCGCTGAAGAACAGCTGCCGAAGCTCAATAAGCTCGTTTTGGGCTCCAACAAAATTGGTTGCGTTGTCCGATCAAATCATTTGAGGCTTTCCCCTCAGGCTTATTAATCTTTTTATGGCTGCAATAAAAGACTGCGTTCAAAGAAATCTGTTTTTTGGCGACCTCTGCATCTTCGAAGTTAGGCCCTTGTGCTTCACGGCGAAGTGCACACGCGGAATCCCTTTAATGAATCCCAGTCAAGCTTATCCTTCAATAGGACCTGCATAAAAATCTTAGCTTGATGATCGGGGCTATTAATCCGAGGGGATCGTAAAATCTAGCTATAGCCGAAAGAATGCTGCGCTTGGTTGCGGGCTGGCCTGTTCACCCGCTTGAGAAGCTGAAGAGCAAATTATCCGATAGAGTATACCAAGTCAGACCCAACGCCTTTTTCCGAATCATCTACTCCTTCACCATTTGC